TGTGGCCACCTCCAGAGATGGAGCCTTCACTGCCTGACCTTCCTCCTGCTCCTCCAGAAATAGATCCACCACTGCCTGAACTAGAACCCCATCCTCCAGAGCTACCAGGTTTTTTTCCTGTAGAGATCAACCTCCTCTTCTTGCTGGCATCATCAGCGCTCAGTCCCCAATTTCCACTTTTGAAGTCTCCAGATCCTACTCCAAAGACTCCAGTAGCACTCTCCTTGTGGTCTATTACACCTGCAAGAAATGGAAATGATGTCCACCTTATTCTTTTTACCCCAAAAAATTATAAGCACAGCTGAGAAGCACTTATGTATGGCCATCATTTTATCTACTCTATTTGTCATAGTCATATTTTTGAAAAGGGCCAACAAGGATCTCCATTACCAGATGTAACTATGAAATAATTTCTCATGTTGTTCTGGCTTTATTATCTTATCTTTAATGGCACTTACATCTTAGTCCATAACTGAACATTCAGTGCAGCCCGTCCTTTAAGAAGACCAAGAGTATGGGTTTCTCTCTCCTTTAGCTGGCCTGCTCTTTCCACTAATTTTAGGACTAGGTGTTTTTTTTTCCTTCAGTCCTGACATGCACCGCATAGAATTACAGAATAAATTATGTGGTTCCCACTTCCTGAAATTTGGTTGAAACTAGTCAGTAAGTTCCAAAGTCAGTAGCTGAATGTTGACCTATTCATGCACACACCTCAGGTGTATTCACACACACACTCACAAGAGACTACCATTTGCTTCATTTCTCTAGGAAACTAGGATAGGAAGTAAGATAGGTTGTTCTGATGGTAGGTGTTAAGGACCACCGACAACCAAATGGTAACATTGCTCTCAAAAAAGCAAAGTAAAGCCTTGAGGTACTTACAGATTGTGGCTGGCGAGCCTTCCTCTATCCTGTGAAGGAAAAGTGACATTGGGATAATGCATCCAATAAAAGTAAAAGTTGGTCTAGGCTCTATCAGTAAGCCCGTGAAAGAGGTCACTCCTTCCAGGCAGGAATTCATCCTGGAGATCTAAGTGATAGATCAAAGAATGGGACACACCGCTTTGTACAGGTGCTTCTATCCACGATGAATAGTTTGCACCTACCTGGTCTCCTCCTCCTCAAGGAGTGATCTATACATGGCAATTTCAATATCCAGGGCCAATTTCGTGTTCAGGAGCTCCTGATAATCATGAACAAGGCGAGCGAGATCATCTTTGGCCTGCTGCAGGGCATTTTCCAACTCCTGAAGTTTTTGCTGGCCGTCTTCGATGGCAGAGCTCCCACGCTGCTCAGCATGTTTAATGGTTTCTTGGAGGCTGGCATTCTGCAGAGGACACAAACAGAATGTGTCCATTTCCCTTCTACGGGACGGGGATTTTCAAATCCTTCTGGCAGTTCTTGGAAATTAAAAGATCCGTCTCAATGACAGAACTCAGAAGATACATTGGACTTGGTAAATGAACCCAAATTAAATCTCAGTGTAGACAGCCAAAATTTAAATCTGCTTCATTGTGAACACAAAATGTCATCTCTAGATTTGCCTCCAAAGGACAGGCTACCTTTACTGCACTGTGTCCCCATGTAAAAGCAACTTAAATAGTTTAGTCATGTTGGAAAGTATTAGCTTTACCTTTTTCCTTGCAATTTCAATTTCTGTTTGTAGTCTTTGGATCTGCCTTGTAAGTTCCTGGATTTCCTGATAACTGTTCCTCAGTTGCTCACGTTGATTTACCCACATGTTCTGAAGGTCCTGGTACTGATGTGCAGAGAAGAGAACAGACATTTTTGGTATCTTTTCCATTGAGCAGACAGACTTGCCTCCCTATCTTCTTGATGTCTACTCACCCTGCCCTGATACATGGCATCTACTTCAGCTTTGCTTCTCTGAGCAATTGTCTCGTACTCCTGCCTGACTTCTTCGACGATGCCATCCAGGTTCAGATCTCTATCGTCGTCCATGGACAGAATGACATTGGTGTTGCCAACTACTGTTTGCAGCTGGGACAGCTCCTGCAAGGAAAACAAGATTTGGGATTTTAACAGGCTATGTGAGCAGTCCAGGTTGTGTTATGAGGCAAGAAATGGGACCCTCTGGCCAGTTACCCACTGGAACTTCCCTACCTGCATCCCCCACGTCCTATTGTTCCACCACCAGTTTTAATTTTCAAGCGTGTCTCCCAGCCATCGTGATACACCAGACCCCCTTTTCACTCACAGATTAAAAAGGATTTTATAAGATCAAAGGCCAAGGATGATCCACTCTCCACACCAAAAAGTCCTGTTCAGGCAAAATTTCTGGGAACCTCCAAAAGATATGTGTCCTTCAAGACCCAAGGGTAAGTCTTTAATCTGAGAAGCATACTCACAGCTTCATGTAAGCATCTGAGGAACTCAAGCTCCTGCTTCAGTATTTCCACCCGAACATCAAACTCCATTTTTCCCATGTAGGCACTGTCCAGTTCCTGTAAAAAAAAGCCGTAGGCATATTTGTATTTCTTTGATCCAAAGTCTACACTGAAGTGCAATTCTTGCAAAACTTGATACGTTTCTTTAAAGCCTTCATTCCTGGGGTCAAATAATGGCCCACGAATATCAGATTTCATTTGAAAAGCAGTTGGAACGAAGGGAAAGTTTTTAACTCTTAGAAGAAAAGAATGGCTTGGAAATAAGCAAAATAGCTGGGGCAATAAATCTGTTCCTGGAGAAAATGCAAAATGTTGGAACATAGATTTCATTAATTCTTCTAATAAAAAGTTGTCTAAATTCTCTGTTCTCCTATCTAAGCCATCTATAGACATTATTTAACCCCTAATAATGATGTCTCACCTAGGTTGTGGTTGAGTGAATAGAGACAGATCAGCACTTTTTAGATATTCATCCTACAAAGGACCGATTGATTCAGTCTCTAAAGGAAAGGATTTCTCTCCAGTCTTGCAGTAAAAAGCTCAGGTTTTCAGTTACTTCCATTAGAGGACAGTTAGACAAAGTTAGGCAAAGATCCTGCTTTTGAAAACTTCGGCAGCCATCCAGCCGTTGCTTTATTTCTGAGGCTTTGATTTAGCTCAGTGTCTTGGATTACTTTACCTTTTTAAGCTCCACAAACTCCTCCTCTTTAGACGCGCGCTTGTTGATCTCATCCTCGAATCTGTTGCAACAGAGAAAAGAGATATGTAGCTCATCGCCTACCTTACTTTTTCAGTCAAGTGGATCAGAAACCAAAAGGAATCATCCAAACGGGGAAAGTCTCAAGTTTTCATTTAACTGCAATTTCTGGCAACTGCAAAGGCAATTGCAAACCCTTTGCAAAACCATTTGCTAAATTAGCCAACAAAATGGGATAGACACAGATCAGTTCTAACATCCCTGTAATTCTGAGCCGAACTTCCCATTTTTCAGAGCTGTGGATGTATATTATCTTTTGGGTGCAGCTAAGCCAGAACAAGTGACGACTTCTCAATTTGTCCCCACTGCTCAGCTCTCTCCCTCCCCTCCCCACTGTCCAGGTTGACCACAACTCCACAACTACTAGCAGGAGTAAGGACTCCTAGGTTACTCATTGCTTGGGGGAGGAAGGGCATGAAGGAGGACAGGAGGAGAGAAGAGTGGGGTAGATCTACAGGGCCTTTGATTTTCCTCTTCCTGTTCTGGGTTCTGCCCTCACCAAATCTGCTTTGGTCTTCCAGTGCCAAAGTCAAGTCCCGTAATGAACCTACTGCAGAGCAGTGCTGTGATGGCTACAAAACTCTTGAAGGTGCAAAGCTAAGCTATGCCATCCCAGGGCTGGATTAGCATTGCCTTGGAAAATTCCAGTATGCTTTTTCCCAGACTTGTGATTATTCACCTCTTTTTATAATCTTCAACAAGTTGAAGCATATTGTACGCTTCCGGATCCAGTTGCTCCTTCTGGTCCTGGAGGGTTTCTAGCTGCCTCTGCAGGCTGCTGATGTAGGATTGGAAGAAAGAGGTGATATTTCTGCTCTCTTCTGGTCGGGCACTTTGCTGCTGCAGAAGTTCCCATTTGGCCATCAGAGCCTGGTTCTGCCGCTCAAGACATTGAACCTGAAAGACAAAGCAGAAGAACATCTCAGCCGCTGGAATGCACTGAGGGAAACACCAACATCAACATTAGTCCCTATAGCAAACCAAATCCTGGTTAGTATTTCCAACACAGTAACATCCAGAGGTTGCGTCAGGTGGGACCAAGTGTAGTAACACTGGTACCAACACACAAAACAGCTTAGACCAAAGGGGGGACATGTCTTTTTTCTCAATCTGTTGCACAAGATGAGTATGATTTTACTGCTGCTTCTCAAAGTTGATACTGAAATCTTTGCTGGCTTTTCATCTCTTAAATGCATATTTAGGGGGATGATTGGAGTAGAGGGAGAGAAGTAGCTTAGACACCCAACTACAAGAGAAGAGTTAGGGCCCTCTCAGAAGACCACAAAGGACCACTCTCTTCCCAGATATACCTTGCCTTAGAGAAGAAGGTCAGGAAGACCTATAACGTGCAGAGATGGTATTTTTGGAAAGCAGAGAGATAGCATCTCTTCAACTGGGACACTGAACAGGTTATAACCTGGAAGCTGACATCCAGAAGGTTTCAAAAGGGGAAAAAAAAAAAAAAAAGGAAGTCAAAGGTGCTCCTATTTTTCACGATTAAGCATGCTTAAAGCTTCTGGGTGTAACCAACACCTTTTCTATAAGGTAGTACAAGAAGCCCTTAAGTCTTCACATGTAACAAATAATAGAAGTTTCCACCCTACGCAGAGGCACATGTCACCACCCAAACAAAAGCACGTGTCAGGTCTGCGTGGGTGGAAGTGTTTTTGTGACTGTTTCGTTCCTGTGTCTGTGAGCAGACATGAAAGAGAAGACAAGACTGCAGACAGAGGTGAAAGTATTGTAGTGTAAACCAAAAAAGAGGCCAAGAAGAAAGACGTGAGGGCCTCTGCCCACCTGAAAGAGGCTAGGACCTCCAAGCAAAGAAATAATTTGTTTCACAATTTGGAGAAATACAACATTTTGTTTCGCTTGAGAAAAAAAACAAAACACATCAAGGACGTCCAAGTCCATCACCCATTTTTCCTGCTAGCATCAGCAATTCCCAGGCACCAGAATAGTACTAGCCTTGCAGAAACCCTTTTCCTCAAAACAGAAGTGAGTTAATGTGTTGGTGACATCCCAGAAGTTTGTTACTGTTCTGCCACAAAAGACAACTTGGAGATCCTTATCCCAGGGCTAAATGTAAGTGATTCATGCAATGGTGTTTATAGCAAGCTCTTAATGAAGTTCTTAATAACTTCACTCCAGCAGAAGGGAATCCTGCCAATGCTGTGATTTTTGAGGGGAGGAGATACAATGCAAAGGTGTCCCCATGACTGTCACAGGCAGAGGAGCACCCCTTATACTTCCCCCTTCCCAGATAAGAAGTAAAAAAGAGAGCAGGGACTCACCTTTTCGATGAATGATGCAAATTTGTTGTTGAGAACTTTAATCTGCTCCTTCTCATCGGACCGCACTCTCTGGAACTCAGGGTCAACTTGTACTTGTATCGGCTTCAGCAGGTTGATATCGACACGGACCTCCTCGATGCCTCTGCTAACACCAGCCTGCCCAAAACCCTGTTCAGCCCCTTGCTCACCAAAAGCGCTTCTACCAAGGCCTCCTCCAAGCACCTCCCTGCCTGAACTTCTTCCACACGTGCTACCAAGCCCTGCTTCACCACCTTGAAAAACTCCCACAAAATAGCCTCTTCTACCAAAGCCCTCATCAAGATGTCTCCTACCACCAAATCCCAGGCACCTCCCATATCCTATTCCTTCTCCTCCGTAGCCTCCAGCAGCAGGAACATTCCTAAATCCACCAAGGTTGTGGAGACTCCTGCTGCCATAACCATACCCATAACCACCGTATCTTCCTTCTCCTCTATGGTCTTCACAATGGCTCATGGCAAATGAATTTCTCCCACCACCCAGTGTGCCATAGTGAGCAGAAAAAGAACTGAAATTCCCATCCCCAAATCTGAAGAAATGGTGGCTCATAGCGTCGCTTTCAGAGCGTCAAGAGAAGATGAGAGAGCAGGTGGGGAAGGTTGTAAAACGGGAGGAGAAATGAGAGTGAAGGATCCTCAGCTCCTCTGGTGGGGGTGAGGAAAGTTCTCCTTTATACGTTCTGGAGGAGTTAGCCTCCATTCCGTGGTAATTAGCAGGTCTGTTGATGTTGTTATTGGGTTTGGTTCATCAGGCAGCAATTAATGACTGGCTGAAGAGAGGTCAGAGTAAACACCACACACCAATGGAGGAATTGTGAAATTCCCCAAATCCTGCTTGACTCATGAGTTTTGCTCAGATGAGATTTCCTTATCTCATTAGCTTGCCCTCCATCATTAATTACAGTTCGCACAGTTATCCGTGCACATTGCCGTGGTTTATTCTCTCTCAAATTTCCCCACCTCTTTTGGCATTTCATTTCATGAGACAGAAGGCCTTGATATTGTCCTCGTATTGACTTGGGGGTGGCTCCTCTCGCTTCACCACATCACCAGGAGCACCTACTACAGAAAGCAAAGACCGCAGCTCCCTTAGCTTCCCGTTCTTTCTTTTCTCTCATTCCCAGTATATCCACCCATGAGTAAGTATTGCTTCTGCAGGGAGAGGGGAGGTGTTGCGATCTGGTCTTCTTGCTGGTGCCATAAAAATTATCTGCTTTTGGTTCATAAAGCTGAAATAGTGTCTAGAAAACAGAAAAAATGGAATCTCTATGTATCAATTTTAGCTTCCAATAAGTGGATACAGAGCTTTAAATGAAAAAGAGAAAGCTCTGAGCTAAACTTTAGTCAATTAAACCAGTCTTTTAACTATTAAAGAAAAAGATGAGGTCACCTTAGGGAACACTTCCATAGACTAGGACTTTGGCCCTTCTACTCTGGTTGCTCCTGCTCTTCCATGTGGGAATAGTTAGACCATGAACTAAAACTGCCTGTTCGTAGGTTGGTTTTTTTAAAGACCCCACTACTCGATAACTGAGATATCAAATACAGAGCTGGGCTCCAAGCTTTCCACCCAGAATCTCCCACTGAACATTGACCTGATCCATCCTTCTTTCTTCTCATCTCTGTGCAAAACTCCACCTTTCCAGCCTGGGCACACTCTGGTGCAAGGCTCACTGGCCATGGACTCATCAAAAAGCATTTGGGAGCTAAGTCCTGCTGCTGACAATGCCACCGAGAATCTTCAGCCTTGACTAATGTCTCAAGAAGACAACTGAGATCTGGTACACTGTCTCCAGAAGCACTAGTGGAACGATTTCCACATGGCAACCCCTCCTCTTTGTCCCCTATACAACATTAGGAGGAGCTGGGCTTCACCTGAAGGGGATGGTCGTTCTTCCAAAGGTGTTGGATAAAGCCACACCGTGAACCCTTCAGTTACGTAGAGGTTATGTGGTCAGGGCTTTGTAATCCTTGCTCTGGCTCCATTTGGAAAGTGCTTCATAAATCCCCTAAATGGAAGGTTTGTAGGGAGAGGTTATTAGACCAGCTGTTATTAGACCAGCTGAAATATCTTGAGGCTGACACGATTTTGGATACTCAGTGACCAAATGAAGGGCTTTTCCCTGAAGTAGACACAGTGTTTTCCAGACAACCAGATGAGAAGTAGTACTTCTCCTTACCACACTTGGTCTCGTCTAGCCTTACATCAGGAATGGCCAACCGGTAGCCCAGACCTTCCATTTGTGCTACTTTTTCATAATTAAACTTTACTGGTTACTTACATTTTACTGAGAATTTCAACCAAATTTCCCACTGAATTCCCTCTCTTTATATACCTATGTAAAAATCTGGCTTGGATTGAGAATTTTGTGTCCTGATGGAAAGAGTAATTACAGTGAACAGAAAAAATCTGTAATGACCACGATTTTAAAAGTGAGTGGGGGGAAACCTGGAAACCAACCCATTACAACACATCTGGGTAAGGTTTGCGAAAGTGTTAGGATATTACACAAAAACCTTTCCTATTCTGTTTTAGTTGGCCTCAGTAGTTTCTAGATCCTGGTGCAGCTCAAGACCAACCAATGTAAATGGTTGGGTTGGCTCCCCGACCTCCCATATTTCAGTCAAGCTGAAAGATGCTTTCAGAACTGTATCCGCTCCCTGCAAAATTCTGCGTAGGCCAAACTGCGTCTGAAAATGCTGAGACTGGAACTCCTGTGTGACCTTGGAGCCATTATTAGGCTCAGGTAAAGGTTAGGATGATAATACATGACTTCATGTCAGGAGGAGGTGAGGCTCAGTGGACATGACCCATGATTTTCCTTGTGAGGTCTGAGCTAAAGCATCCCTTTTGCTTGCCTTAACTAACAATTCCTCAGCAACATGCACAAGAGTTTCTAAAGGGTGGCTGTTGTTCACCTGTCTGTTGAGTTTGTGAATGAGTGTTTCGGGTACAATTCATCTGCATCCCTCTTTCCATTTGGAGAGTCGCTCATTCCAATGCATGCTGCATCGGGCAATACTTGAGATCATCCACCTGGATCTTGGAAGGAAGTGTTATGACCTAGGGGAGGGAACACCCACAGACCAAACAAGCCAGCTCCATGTGGAACAATGGTTTGATAGATGTCTATCCAATATCACTGCCCTAAATACATACATCAACTTGCTGCGTGAAGCAAACCGGGGGGCAACTCATACAGAACCACTGCATTGATCTCCGAGGCAGACGTGTCCTGCTTGAGAAGGCCTCCTGCAAACCCTCCACAAGAAGAGCAGCCATCCTACCCCACATGCCATGTAATCCAGAGCACGACGTGTAGGCTGCTGTTGTGATCATCGTTATCACCAGCTCAGCCTTGGCACAAGAGACCAAGCCACACCTGAACCTGCTGAGCTGGCTCCAGAGGCAGCGCTGCATCCAGAGAGATGTTCACGCATCCTGCCGATGAAGGGGGAGCTTCCTGTGATATCCTTCTCTTCCCTGCAATGAGTTGGCATTGCTCTTGGATGCACCTGGGTAGCTTCTGCTCTGATCCTTTAAAAGAAACAGTAAAACAGTTCCCAATGTGCATGGACCAAAAGGACCACAGGTTCAACCTTACCACAGAGGTAGGTTATCACCGAATCTACCAGGGAATGGAAGTCTTCTGGGGCTATTCAAATAGCCACATGGTCAACCCAACTTTTTGTTGTTGGGGATTTTTGGGATAAATTTAAATTGCATCCCGAAAGTTGTTCGTGTAAAATTGACTGCCTGGGCTTCTTGTATAACTCTTGGAGCAAGCACAGAACGTCCATGTGTTATTCTTCCCATCCGGAACAGTCCATGAAGCAGGTGATGATGTTCCTCCCATCTGGAGAAGCCTCTGAGATAGGTGACATGAGTGTGCCTTTCTGGATGGTCTCATTTCCCTCTATGGGCCATAAGGGAACCTGGAGAACTCGCTCAACTCCCGAATTTTAGGTGGTGAAAGAAAAGTGAGTTGAGCTGTCCTCCATCAGACCTGTGTCACAGAGGCTGCACCAAGGGTGAACATGTTCAAACCATAAAGACAATTCACAAACAGACCCAAAGTTCTACTCTTTGAGCACAACTAATGCAGGAACCTGCCAGCCTCCACAACCCACATCCGAATCTGTCCGCCTCCAGGCAACCCAAATAATAAATGGGAATAATAAATTCTAGTGCTTAGGCTAATGCTCAAGAAAATGCCTCCACATTCTTGCAGGACCATTTTAATCAGCTCAAAACAGAAAGCCTAAATGACTCAAATCCTGCAGGTGTCTCAGAAGAAAGACCTAGCTCCTTTTCATCACTGCTGAACATAAACTAGCGATCTTTACAAGGCGTGTTGGCAGAGGGTAGGCAAGTAAGTACAGTAATGTACTTACTACGATTAAATAACTACTGCACACCGGTACAGTGGACACACAGCAGTGTAGTACAGTAGTACCTTAATGAATACGGTACTTGGATTTAATAGCTGTCCGGATAAAATAGACAGACACTCACACAGAGGATTGAAATAGTAGATCTTGATCACTAGTTGCTTAAATACCTGCGTAAGTAGGGCCCTAAGTCACTTAGAAAATGGGACTGAGCTCATACGGACACACTAATAAAAATGCCTTTCCTCCCACAGACTTTCATTTTCTCCCACCTTCCATCACAGGGATTAACAATAAACTTTTTCTGTGGCCAGGGAAGGAAGTTAAGAGGTTCTGAGGAGAGAACAAAAGGAAGAGAAATGTCAAAAACCTTGTAATGGCAGAAAAAAAAGTGAAATGCTGGTATTCTACCAAAGGTTTATGCTACTTTAATTCTGAGGTTCCCCAGCTTGGAGGTCACCTTACCTGCAAGAGTATGTTGTACTGATTATACGGACACTTAAGATGGGAGCAGGAATATGATCCCATATATGTGATCTGTGGTACGCAGAGATCAGATGGGAATTCCCTCACCCAGACCTACATCTGGGCGAGACTGAAAGTTGCTATTAGACCACAGAAAAAAAGCCCTATATCAGGGCATGATCAGAATCACGTGAGTTGTCAACCCTTCATAATAAAACAGTGAAGCTTCCTGACAAGGAAATTATAATTAGAGGAGGTCTGGGAAACCCCTAAGATGGGAGGGCTTGTCCCGCATAGATTGATGTAAGTGGGTACTGGGTTCAGCTGGTTGGGAATGTTTTTTGGGGGAAAATGTTCTTTTGTCTTTGGTAAACAGAAGTATTTTGTGGAAGTGTTTTGGTTGAATTGCACAGAACCAAGGTGGAAGCTAGGATCCAAGGTGAGGGGACAGAGCTGGGCGCTCCGAACAACGTGAGCTCAATGGATTGGTAAGGAGGAACTTGGTACAGAACCTACTGTTGGTTTCTCCATCAGGAGCTGCTCCATAATACGGACGTAAGGAAGCAACCAGTGGACCACAGCATTTCAGACGGTAAGAAGCACCAGTCCATCTCTGCTTGCACATGAGTGATTTCTTTCTGAGTGGAGGAAAGACAACAAGCAGAATAAGGTGGAGAGCAAGAGGTCAAGGTCAAGGACAGCACAAACCAAGCTGGAAGAGGTCGGAACCGAGTGCGTGGTCCATAAGTACAATGACAGCAAAGCAAGCTAAGAAGACACGGGATGGGAAGTGGTGGGAAGTCTATGAGGAGAAAGGGGAGCTGCCCCTGGAGCTACAAACCTCTCTCCTTGACTGTGCAGGGAGCCCGCATGATGACTTTAGGTTGGAGCTTTGACTTTGAGAAAGCCAGAGTTAGGCAGGATGAATTCTACCTGGTGTGGGGTAGGTCCCCTACTTCTAGGAGTAGGTCATTTCCCATCTTTGTCTCACCTACTTGAGACAGTTTGAATGGGGAGAGAGGTGGGCTGTGTTCAGGCTTGATTTTAGTCTCAGGTCTGGACCAGAAAATATTCTTGTAATACAAAACAAAATACTACTTTGCCTCTCAATCCTGTTAACTAATGACTAATGACTGGTTTAATAAATGGCTAATTATTCTGGGTTGACAGGAAGGTAAACAAGTCGATAACTTATTTGTAACCGCCTATAATATTAAATCATCTATTCAGAAAATACTAATCATAATTATGATATCTGTTTATCTCTTATTTCCCCTACAAGAATGTGAAAGTATCAATTTAATACAATGTGTGAAAACAGAGAAGTAAGTTTTCTGTTGCTGTTATTACTAACAACTGCAGCGAGTGTGTGAAGTAGAAGCTTATTACTTTTTTTATTTTATTGGCTAACCTAATGCAAAATATCGTGCTTTCTGATCCGTGAGATCTCTTAAAGGCTGAGCAAGTCCTGTGTCCTCCGCACACAGCAAACCTGCAGCTGATGCCCTCAAGCTGGGGTGTGTGGTTCTGGAGCAAGGCAGAGATGAAATCTCCAAAGGGTTTCAGGAGGAGGAGAGATACAACCTGCAGAGAGAGAAAGAAAAAAAAAAAAAAAGAAAAAAATGAGGAAGAGGAGGAAACTGGGTTGAAGTCTAGGTTAAATGCACCAGGTGTCATGAGAAAATGTGACTTTTTTTCTATATGCAGCGGCCTCCCAGCAGAAAAATAGTCAATGTATGTGGCATCTGTAAATAGAGGAAAAATATTTGGGCAACTTCTTCA